ACAGTTTATTCACACTGTGAGAATTCACACTGAGGTATGTGCATTAGGTCTGACAACTTGTTTCTTACATCGCAGCCTGACATATCTAGTCAAAAACAAAAACACTGCTTTAAAAAAACAGCAACAAACATCAAACTGTTTCAAGGTTAGTATAAATTTACTAAATCTTCTCTCTTACATATAAATATGCACCTTGGTTATTCACACCTAATACTCCATGTATTTTCCACTAAATATGTGAGCACTGGCAAAAAGCTGCAATCTATGATCTGTGTAACTTTCACAGATACTCCAAAAATCTTGCTTAACAATAATTCTGGGTTTTGTGATTATGCCAGCCACTTTGCAGATGCTTCCATGTTTACTTCAGCTACCACACGGCACAGAATATTTTATTGTTTTACAAGGAAATTTGATTGCCTCTAAGAAAAACATGATTTTGCACAAAGACAGTTCTCTTTTTTTGTACTTACATGAAGTGGCCATCTGTTGAAAAGTTAAATCTGAGGTTTAGTATCCTATTCTTTATTGCAACAAATACTCTTACATAAACTGAAGTGGATGTTTATTATGCTATAAACAATAAAACATCTTCTGATGCACCTATGGCACATCATAAACTTCTGCATTCTGTAACCACCAGCATTTCCCACTCAGTAAATTAAAGCTGGTACAAAAAATTAAATGTGTGTGTGCACATACACATAAAGAATTGGGCATGTTTAGCCTTGAGAAAAGATGGAGGGGAGATATGATAGCACTTTTCCAATACTTGAAAGGCTATCATACAGAGGAGTGGCAGGATCTGTTCTCAGACATCTCTGAGTACACAACAATAGGCTCAAGTTACAGGAAACCAGATTTCAGCTGAAGATCAGGAAAAACATCTTATTGTAACTGTTAGAGCAGCATGGCAATGGAATCAATTACCTTGAAAGGAGGTGAGTGTTCCAGCACTCAAGGCATTCAAGAGAAAATGGGACAACCACCTGGCAGATATCCTTTGATGTGTATCCTTGGACGTAGCAGAAGGCTGGACTCGATGGCCTTATCGGCCCCTTCCAACTTCATGATTCTATGATTATACTTCCTGCCCTTATTTTACTTTTCTTTTTTCCTGGATTTTAGGAGCATGAGAGCTATGAATTTTTTTTATTTTTTTTTTGAAATATTTTCTTTGTGTATGTTGGGGCAGGGTGCACTGCCTGTTTTTTTTCAACATAGCTACTTTATCTGGTTATTTTTGTGAATACATTATTTTGTGGATACCCAGTGTGATGTAGTGGGCAGGGTGACAGCCTAGGACAGAGGAGGCCTGGGTTTGAATCCCCACTCAGCCAATAAAAATCATGGGAGGATAGAATTGGTAAACACTCTTTAAATATCTCACTTGTCTTGAAAACCCTATTAGGGTAGCTGTAAGTTAGTTTCGATTGGACAACACATAACACACAGCCATGTTATTTGTTTATTCTCTTTAAAACTGATATTGGATGGCAGTAGTGCTCTCTATTTGCTAAAATCATTCCAGGGTGTATGTGTTTTTCCCTGTTGGACATATTGCTATTTAATTTGCTTTGTATTATATTATTATTTTCCATTTAAAACTGAATGGGGTGACTGTCTGCTAAATTGCTCCTGGGGGTGGAGAGCCTTCTTGCCAGATCTTTATAAAATTTGGTTTGGATTCTTTTTCTCTGTGTGTGTATGGTACTAATTTGGTAACTTTTCTGTTTGTTTCTGGGTGTCTGTGTGGGCCCGTAGAGGGTGGACTAATGGTTGCCTTCTTTCACTTTCTGCTATTGTGCTGCTGAGGCCTAGAGAGAGTCTCTCTGTTCTGCGGGGGTAAGACTGAAGTTTGTTTTTCTGTTTTTTTAAAAAAAATTGGGTGCTTAGCTGGTTGCTGCTTTTTAAATTTGTTGGTTGGTAGGAAAGTGTAGAAGTGGCACTGCTGGTGGTGGGGATGGGTCTCTCATTGTCTGAAAGAAGGGCTTTTTGTGGCATCTGCACACTGAGCAGATGCTTTCTCTGCTTTTCTGCTGAGGAGATTTGGAAGCAGATCTTGCTCTGAGATTTAGTCTAAAGAGAGAAGACTCGATGGGTGGGTTAAGCCAAACTTGGCCTACCTGCATAGATGTTTTATGGGATTAAAATTCTTCTTAATTGCTTCCCACCCACCCCGGTTAAGGCAGGCACCATGCAGCTGGACTAACTGGGTGGCTGCCTGCTTGTAGTGGATGCCCACATCACTCCTGTCAATCTCATCAAAACCTCATTTGCATGAGCCAATGGAAGGACAGGAGGGGGCGGAGGCAGAGTCTCGAGAGTTAGTCAGAGGTGTCAGTTAGTCAGTTGGAGAGAGAAATGAGATAGAGAGATTTGCAGAAGGAGCTAGAGAGTCAAAGTTAGAAGTGAGAGTTGTAACAAGTAAATACATAAGCTGGTTAAATTGCAAATAAGTAAACAAAAGAGGACATTTCAATGATTGTGAATCTGAGTAAATAAATAAAGAACATCTGTAACTTTTATAAAAACTTTCAATTGTTGGCAGCCAATATTTGTGTAAAATAATTTACATTGTGGATAAAAGAAATCCACTGGTGGCAGCAAAAGGACATCACCAGCGTGGACCTGTGTTTGTGAGAAACAAACAGGGTACGGGGTGGACGTCACACTGCTGTCTAAGTGGGCTAGATTAGCTACACCAGGGCTGTGGTGTGTATTGGTTATCATGGTGCATTGCGCTCTCTCTCTCTCTCTCTTTTAACTGTATTAGACTTGGCAAACTATGATGAGTGGCCAGGGATCATGGTGGTGACAATGACTGATGATGCAAGGAAGATAACTTTTTGTGGGTGGTGGTGCCTGTACCTGCCAAGAACAGATCTTGTAAGATTTTGGTGCTGTACCTGGTCCCGAGGGACCCATGTGGAATGATCAAGCCTCTACCACTGGCAGCAGGATGGCATAGCCAGGCCCTACTGCCCTCTTACTCATCCTGCTCGCAGACCTCCTGCACTGGCTCCACCTTCTGCTTCTTGATGGGAACAAGCAAAAGGATGCATCGGTCCTACCCAGGCTTGGGGAGCACAGATCTTGGAGGACTCAGAGTATTGGCTAAGGAAGATGGAGAAGAGATCAAATTTGTTGCTGGTCTCCAGCTGGACCAGCCATCTGTGACAGGTTCTTTGTCTGCTCTAAGGAGCTGGCATTGGTTGTGGTTTAGAGGCAGAAGGAAGCTGAAGAAGAGGACGAGAGAAGGAACTGGTTGCTGGAGAGAAGCCTGCTTTGTCTCCTGCACAACCTATGGGTCATGCTGACTCCCATAGTTATCAGCAGCAGTTGGGGCTGCAGAGGGCAGTGGGTGCAGCTTTGGAAGCCCGGGAAGCCAAAAGCCTCCACACCGGTGCCAGCTTCCCGGGCATCCAAACCCCCTCTGCTGCCCTCTCCCCCCCGTCCCCGGTGACCTCTCCCTCCTGTCCCCGCTGCCCTCTGCCCCCTCCACTGCCCCTGCCTCCTGTCCCCACGGAGGGCTGAAAGCCACCCGACCTCCGCATCAGGGACAGGAGGCAGAGGGCAATGGGGACAGGAGGCAGAGGGGGTTTGGACACCCGGGAAGCCGGCACTCAGTGCGGAGGTCTGGGCGGTGTTGGAAGCCCGGGAGGCTGAGCCTCCCCTTTCCTAACCGTTGGTGTGAAGAAGCAGCCTCTTCACCACCAATGGTTTGAATTCCCTGCCTTTTTCCCCTGCCTTTTTCTATTCGTAACTGGAAGCTCCGGCTACATGTCGAAGCAAAATTTTATGGCTGGAGCTTTTCATAACTCAAAATTTTCGTAAGTAGGGACATTCGTAAGTCGAAGCCCTACTGTACCAAGTGTGTGACCCGGTGCTGACTTTTCTTTCAACTTGTAGCAATGCACTGATGAAATTTATGCTCATGGACTTCTGCCAGTGTAATTTTTCAGTGGAATTCAGCTATTGTATCTTATCCAGAATGCTTAATTTCCAGCATAAAAGCTCATTATGCTACAAAAGTATAATTTTTAATTTGTTGTGGGATAATTTAAAGGAAATGTTAATGAGAATTTAAAAATCTTACTAGTTTATTACAGCATAAGCTTTCACAGAGTAAAGTCTACTTCACCAAATAATCTACAATACTATTTTCAGATGGAAGGTAGAAAATCGGGTTCTGCACAGATTTCCCCTCTGTTCAGCATATAAGAAGAATGAATCCCTTCTTCATGAGAAAAGAGGAGCTAAGGGTGAACAGAAACTAATGAACTCCTCCTTTAGAGAAAGAAGAGCCAGAAAAGTAATCTCTTCCAGACATGCCATTGTTTTTTATTTGATTGCAACAAGTTAAATTTCAGACTAGGACTGCAATGTAGTAAAAGAAATTGGAACACAGAAAGGAGCCTTATATGGAATCAAGCTGTCCATCCATTTAGCTCAATAGTGTTGCCACCATTTAGTTCAATACTGTTGACACTAAGGTACCAGTTCTCCAGAGTTTCATACATACATTTTTCCCAGTCTGAATCTGTAAACATTTAAAAAGATGGTGCTGTACAAGTAAGGTACAGACTTCCCACCATTCTACTTTGTCCCATTAAGCAGCTGAATGATTACTTAATTGTGAATTTCAGCTGGTTAATTGTCTGTTAATATTTTGGAGGCAGTCCTTCTTTGTTTTTAAATTAAACATAGCTGACATAGCAGGCACTGTGTTAGAAGATGCATTCCTCCTATGGACAGAAGATGATGCTTATGCTGTTTTCATAAGCGTGTGGGTATATGTGTGCCCTTACATGCAAGATACCTAATTAATGATGTATATTTTTTAGTGCACTAACAGTTTAAAATTCATCAAGCTAATCAATCGATGAACACAATATATGGAAATTAATATGACATTTTTCTTGCATAACCACTGAAATATGAAGAATAGGCAGAAAACTTTTGTATTAATCAATACTGGTAAGTTTTCAAATGCTTACCAAGGGGAGCCATATATCCTGAAGCCTCTTACTGTCACTTCTGAATCTTGGAGATATATGCAGTTTGTTAAGAGGGACTGTACATTTTCATAGCTCTCTGGCTTCAGTTTGGATACAGAGGGGAAATAGTAAAAGTCCTGCTTGATTAAGTCTGCCATGAACTCTTGGTCAAACGTCAGTTCATGATTACCCGCTATCACAATCTTGTATTCATATGGTAGGCTGCCTAAAGGGAGGGAGAAAACACAATTACCAATGTATCATTACACTTCTGATGGAACTGTAAACAAATTATTGAAATTATGTCGAAGATATAGCTGGACATTCCACAGGGAAATCTCAAAAGAAAACTCAACAACAGTTACACTGGGAAGTGCAAAACAGATTAAATCTGTAAATGCTCAACCCAAAGGAAGTGGAAATAATTTACTTTCCTGTTAGTCTTATATTTTTATTGTGGCTGATTTTCTTTTACATGTTGTTTTGATATGTTGGTTATACACACATGCACACTGTGACAGGTTATCTGGTTATCTTTCCAGTCATAATATCAATCGCACAATCATAAAGACATAACAGATAGCTGGTGTAATTGCTCACATCATATGCATGATTGGCCTTCTGGAACTGAGAATGCAGACAGGATTCTGACTTAGATTGTGTACTATCCTATTCAACCGGACTGTTAACTTAAACATAAGAACAAATTCCCACCCACATCTATTAGCATAGCTTTTGCATTTGATAAAAGATTTACTGTTATTTTCCATCAGCACCTATTTTTCTATGTAGACTGCAATGGATTCCCACGATCACATTCTACTTGTCTGAATATGCTGCATATGATACTAATGAATGCAATAACAAGAGATCTTGCACCACCATAATGAAAATCTTTTTGCTTTTATTCTTTTCTATATATCACACTTAAGATAAAATTACAAGCATGTGTGAACATTATTAAATTTTGATTTACTGCTGAACACATAGCAAAATTTATTCCTATGTATATGTAGGCAAAAACATGTGTCAATACTATCTCACAAGTGATACAGAATTTCCAGCTATTCTCAGATATAGAACTGGTGATCTTCTTTTCTTGAAAAATTTATAAGATAATTATACAATAAACATGTGTTAACAATTTCACTTCCACTGCATTTTCTAAATATTTTACAATTATCCATCTGATAAACAAAACTGGTAAGAGCCAGTTATAGTTGTTGCTTCAGCTAATATCTTTATGACATGGTGCAGTCTCGGGGTATTACTTCAGTGTATTAGTAAATTACTCTCAATGTACAGTCACATTTATTACAGTGGTGACTGCAAGCACTGTCATGGTTATGGGTCTGTCAACTTTTCAATTAACAACTCTTGTTTTTGTTCAATGTGCAGCCCAGCTTCCCCCCACCCCTAATCTTTACATACTTGAAGCAACTCACTAAGTCTATCCACCAGCACAGATAAATATTTTATTACTCCCAAATAGATCAGTTATTCACAGTCTGACAAATATTTATTTTTGTGTTGTTCATGTGTCCAGATCTAGAGATTCTTACAGGTTCCAATGCAAAAATGGACTTATTGCTATCAGAGCTCCCAGAAGCCTATGGCCAGAATCCTCCTGGAGATTTACATTGACATAACTGTGTCTATGTAAACAGCAATTAATTTGCATTCCTTTTCTTACAACATGGCGTGTGACTAGGAATGTGGGCAGATATTAATTAGCAGCAGTCATCACAACAATTTCCACAATTACTCTTATGCCAGTATAATAATAAGTTTCTGGCCTCTGTTTGTCAGTATTTGATCTTCCTTAAGAGGAACATTAACCTCAAGATCAGGTGCCCTGATCCCATGCAGATACACAAAGCACAGAGCGATCAAAATCCACATGCGAGAGCTAGGAAAAAGAAGGGCAGAATAAGCTTGCTTCCTCTGTTCATGGGTCCAGACTCGTCCTCTTACTGATGGCCTGAATGGAGCATCTGTAAATTGGTACTTCCACTTCCACATCCATGGCTGACTCAAAAGGTGATGCCAGAAGAATACATCTCGGCTTCGTCATCTGTGCTACAGAAATTTCAGGATTCCATCTTTTTGCCTTTGCAAAATATCTATATCAGATGTAGGAATCAATAATCTCCCTATTGGTTCAGTCCCCACCACCTCCAGTTGCTGGAGAAAAAAGAGAGGCAGGTACTATCTAGAGAGAGGACTGGTTTTGGATGCCACATAATGCATTTGGAATCCCCTCTCCAAACAAAATCACTAGACACAAACTTCCTTTATTGATCTAGGCATTCCAGTATGTTTTTCTATTAGCGTAGTCTTTAAAGCTGTTGAATTTTATTGATTTTCTTATTGCTATTGTCATAATATTTCAATGTTCCACACATATGTTTTACTTCATCTGTTGTTGCTTTCCACTGTTAGTCAGCTGGGAGTCACATACAGAACGGTGATGTATCAAAAGGTTAACTATATGGTCTTATGTGTGTTTACTCACATAAATGTAACTGCTACTACGTATGTTCAAATGCATGATCCTAAATATCTCTTAATACTTTTCATAAGAAATATTTCTCTGTAGGCTCCTATTTCTCTTCACAGCTCATTCTCATATTAGAGTTTGGAAAATGTCATTAGCCTTCTTGTATCAGTTTTGTGTAGCTGGATCCTTTGTGTCCCTAATGTCCTCCTCAATAACTGTATGTGGGAAGGAGTTCACTTTTGATTTTCTAAATTTCCATCATGAACTTGGCAGCCTTAAAGATTCAGTGGTTCAGTTTGTTGATAAGTAAGAGTTACTAATGAGTTGTTTGTTCACTTTGTAGTATTTTACTACTAATTATAGGATGTCAGATGGAATCTCTCTCTTTTTTGGTAGTTTTTAGTGTGCTAATTACCACATACAATTTTCCTGCTTTCAGATTACAGTGCACATTTTACAAAGGACTTTGCCATGATGAAATGCTATGATCTTCATCTACCAAAGCAACAAAAGTGGGATATTACCATGTAGTGGCATAATTTTCATTCATAAAATTCGCATAATTGCCAGTCATATCGTTAAAAAATAAACAAAATACTGCAAGGCATTTGAAAATACATCCATAACATTCATTCATCTCAAGACTTGATCCCACCATTGTTCCACTATTTCCCTGCTGGAAAGCTCTTGGCACTTTGATCCTGCTCCACATTACTATGTTTGTTCACATTCTTCCAAATGCCCCATATAGCAAACAGTAACAAGATATTTCCAAATTGGTTAAGAACTACTAATCTTCTGTATTGCTGCCTGTTCTCTTTTTCTAAGTTTGAATACAGTAGAACAAGGAGACAGGAGAGTTGCACACTCCTTCTTGTGGGGTGGGAGTGGAGGCAGAAGCAACAGTGCTAGTTGATGTGGCACAACATGGGCACATGACTGTCAGAAGGCTCTAAGATAGGTTGAGGACATTCTTGCAAGAATTACCTCTGTTGGGATTACTCTTTTCGATCTTAAGTTCTGATAGACAGCCCCTCTTGAAATTTTCTGAAGTAATGATGGACAGCCTTGCTCAAATTCTCAAATAATGTAGAAATCATGTTGGTTTTTCCACTCACATAAAACTGCTGAGGACAGAGTCTTGATATAGCATGTCTGGAACATAACACACTACCCATGGTGTTCCATGATCTCCAGTTTTCTGTTGCACGACTGGTAAGATCCCCCTATTCAAAACAACAACTTGCACAAGGAGGTACTCAATAATTCCTTGCAAAGTTTTTTTAAGATATCTGCCTGTGCAATGAATTGTTTCAGATTCTAGCTGCAAGAACTTTGATATTTTTTCCCAAAAAAACTAGGACCTGGAAACATGAATCCCAAGAGCACTCTCAAAATATGCTCTTCCTTTACCTCCTTGGCAAATGTGTTTACAGGAGCAGCATAAGTGGTTGCATAGGGAAATGAGAGGAGAGAAATCTGGTCACTTCCTCCCTTTCATCTTGATTTCCTTTGCACATTGAGTGCAAAATACAGGAGACAGGCTTCATTTCATACCATGTTGCTGTTCAATGCATTGTGAAAATAAAGCTGGAGAGAAGTAACACAATATACATCCTCTCCTTTTTTGTGTGCTATGATTCTTTCAGAAAAATGCAGGGAAGGGGAGATGGTGTCTGGGAAGGCAAGGGCCAGCAGCAAAGATTTTGTAGCAGCAGAAGCACTGGAATGAACCAAAAAGGGATTTATTATGATTTACTTTGGAAAATGACGTTTTCAGATACAGTATATTTTTCCCTATGGCTTGGTCTGGGACTTTAGAGGCCTTTGAAACTCTCCTCTAAGCCTGGCATGTCTAACGTAAAGTGTTTTTTTTTTTTCTAATTTTGTATTTTAAATTTTTTTTCTTCCTTGCAGCTAAATGATTTAGACACAAGGGCTTATTATAGATTCCACAGGACCTTGCCCCCCATGTGTTGGTTTCCTATGATTTTTTAAATCTTTCCATATTATACTGAAGAAAGAAAGAAAGAAAGAAAGAAAGAAAGAAAGAAGGAAAGAAAGAAAGAAAGAAAGAAAGAAAGAAAGAAAGAAAGAAAGAAAGAAAAGAAAAGAAAAGAAAAGAAAAGAAAAGAAAAGAAAAGAAAGACTTCAGTGAGACCTATATGTAAGCTCACACAAGCAGCTGAGTCTTACTTTTTCTCTAGGTATGGAAGAGATTTAATATTCTGTAAGAGCAGTGGTAATCATACAAATGCCCACTTAACGCTTTCTCTTTCTCCTTTCAGCCTTTTAGAATATTGCAGTGAATGACTACAGTAAAGATAGTGTAACTGTCTTAGATTGCATTTTAAGCATCCCGTTGACAGTTCTGTGTTTAAACTCCTGGCTGATGTCTGAGAAATTTACATTAACACTGGAAATGAATACATCTTCTTAAGTCATCTATAAACTGTTATAGGCTAAGCATCATGGAAAAGTAAAAGCTAGCAATTAAATCAGACATTAAAATACACACTAAATATCATTTTCTTCAGTGCCTACATTAACAGAAAAAAAAGAAAAGGTAGAGGGAGAAAAACTTCCATCTGAAACTTATACTAATTTACTTGAAAGAAGATCCCACTGATTTCAATGGAACTTCATTCAAGTATGTGTGATTGCTACAGAAGTCTTCCAATTCTAACATGACAATTAAGGTACTTTGACAAATTATTGGCCAGGAA